TAGGTATCCTATCATTTGATTTTAGAAGGTGAAATATGAGAATGCATGTAAAGAACTTGGATTCGAGTGTGCTCCTGAAACGGTACTTCCGCTGTTCTTCTGGTCAGCAGGTTTTCTCTATGGCCACATGGGTTCATAAGGAAGAACTTTTTCCTTCTAGGGGATTAAATGCTGCCAACACTTGATCCGCCATTTTGAATGCCTGGCAAGGCACCGCACACTGTGGAAATGAAACACACGCCAGTAAGAACCTCGCGATTAGGTTGTGGAGACAGGATAAACACATAGGACATAACAATTGCTAAGTAATGAAGTAGTACAGGATTTCAAAGGAGTAGAAAATGAGAGTGGTATGAGAGAAGGCAGGAACTCTCTGGGCCTTGACAAATGGACGGCATTTATAAAGGGTGAGGGAAGGGGGAGGGCTCTCTCAAATAGGGGAACTTAGCCAGTGTGAACCTTGGTGCTTTTCACATCGTAGCCAATGGGTTGGTCTCTGGGGGGATGTTCAGATCCAACCCGTCCTTCTCCAACTGGGTGAAGACCAGACAGCTCATAGATGCTATTGTAGACTTAGCCCTTTGGTAAGGGCTAAGACATGGTAACTCTACAGACAGTCTTTGCCTACTGCATACATGAACATGTCTGTAATAGGAATATAAACTGAACTTCCAGAACACTCACAGAGGAAACATTCATTTTATCCAGCGTGTCCTGGAGCAGCTCGGGGATAAAGTGCTGCTTGAGCTGAGCTTCAGGAAGAGGCACACAGGTGGCTTAAAAGATGTAGTCGTAATAGTCCACTGACTCACTTGTGCAAAAATGCAGCTTTATGTTTCGATTTGAACTTCCGCTTCTGCTGGCAGAACATGCTATTTCATGCTAATCCAATCGCTGTCAGATTTAAGGTGATAATTCAGGATCTAAACATTCAATTTTACACCCACAAAAGCCTCCTTTGCCTTCCCTCTTCCCTATCACAATGGCATCCTGTGCTCCCCTCCGTCCTCCCAGAAATCAGCTAAGGAGTATGTCACCTTCCTACCCTTCTGTCTGTGCCTATGTCCCCTCACTGCCCCTTGCCAGCGTAGCTCATCTCGTCTCCTGCTCCACATGTAACTCGTCTTGAATGGGCTTTGATGTTGATTGTCCTTTTTTATTTTACCCTGCTGGGTGAGGCGTAATGGACATGAAATTCTCTAGTTTTAAATGTACAATCCAATAAACTTTGACAAGGGCATGCAGTGCCATAACCATCCCCACAGTCATGATGGAGAACAGTACAGTCCAGTAGAAACAGAATGTGATCCACACTCGTAATTCGGATTTTCCAGTGACTACATTTTTTAAAAAGCATAAGAAACGTATTAATACGTGTATCAAAATATCACTCTATATCCCATAGATGTGTACAACTAGTAAGTGTCAACTAAAAATAAAGGGAAAAACGTATAAGAAACAGGTGAAGGTAATTTTAATAATATAGTTTATTTAACTTAATATGGCCACATATTATCATTTTAACCTGTAATCAACAAAATACATGCATAAGGTAGTTTATCTCTTTTTTCCACATCATTTATTTGCAGTATCTCAGTTCAGATAATACCTTTTCATCAGAAACATTTGATTTGTAATTTAGGTCTTATAAAAGTCACAGCGGAAAAGTAGATCCCAACACCCAAGTTGTTTCCATCCTATTTACAAGTTTTTCATTACGATCTTTAATTTTAATTCAATTTGATTTAATTTAAATTATACATAATTAAAAGCTCAGTAACCACATGTGGCTTGGGAGCTTCCATATTGAACAGCACAGAGAACATTTCCATTACCCCTAAGAGTCATCTCCTGCTCTTTTTAAATCAATCCCATCTTCCCACCATTGGGCACTAGCAACCAACGATCTACCATGTGTCTCTATAGTTTTGCCTTTTCTACAATGTCATATGAATGGAATCAGACAGCATTGAGCCTTTTATTTCTGACTTCTTTCAATTACTACATTGGTTTTGACATTTATGTATGTTGGAATTATCAGTAGTTATTTCCTTTTAATTGATTCATAGTGTTGCATTGTATGGATGCGCTATACCATTCAACAGTTGGTGGGCATTTGGGTTGTTCTAATTTTTGGCTATTATGAATAAAACTGTTATGAACATTCAAATACAAATGTTTTTGTGGAAATATGTTTTTATTTCTCCCTCAAAAATATCTAGGAGCAGATTGGATGGTGTGTGTTTAATTGTATAGGGAACTACCAAATATTTTCCAAAATACCAGTCGACTAGCAAAGACAGTTTTAGTTGCTCCATTAGTTCTCACTAATGCTTGACAGAGTTAGTCTTAGCAATTCTAACAGGAGCACAGTGGTGTTTCATTGTGGTTTTAACCTGCATTTCTCTGATGACTAACAATGTTGAACATATTTTCAGATATTTACCATTTGTGTGTCTTCTTTGGTGAAATATCTGTTCAAATATTTTGCCTCTATTTTTATCAGGTTTTCTTTTAATTATTAAATTGTGAGAGTTGTTTTCAATAGACTGGAAATAAGTTCTCCATCAAATATGTTTTGTATATATTTTCTCCCAGTCTCAGCTTGGGTGTGACTTTTATGTATCTGGTTCCTCATGTTAACGTTAATCTGCTGGGGCTAAATGTGGTCTTACCACGACCTCCAGGACCACGTGCATGTACTCATTTTGATTCCTGGCACCTTTGGGTTCACCAATGTGTTCTCGACTGCCTCTACTTTTCCCTCAGGGAGTCTGCAGCTCTTTTATCAGTCTCTTTCATCCTGTACTGAGTCTACAGGACTTCAAGGAGATGACTTCAGCCAGTTTATATGAACAGTTGTCACAACCATCACTCAGGCACTGTATTAATTAGACATGAGGTTTCTCCAGGAAGATTAAAACCTCCCTGGGCTCTACTCTAGGACTCGAGGCAGAAGTTCCCACTGCCATGTGTGGAATTTCTTGCAACCTAGATGTGCTTTCTCTTACTCGGCTGCCTTTCCCAGGACTGGGCTTGATGAAACATATCAGAGACTGTGTGGATATTCAACCTCTAGACATGCCCTTCCGATATTCCTGCCACTTGGTCAAACTTTGGTCTCCTTTCATAGTAATGTTCTTATGCAATCAACTTGCATTCTCTCCCTTTTTCTTCATCACAGAATAAATGCCAACCTTTCAATAGTGCAGGAACTGGTGATCGGTATTTAAAGCCAAGCTTTTGATCTTCAGAAATTCTTTTTTTCCCCCCTTTCAGGCACTAGAATCTTAAATTTAAGAGTCATGAACTCTAAGATTAATATCCCTGTTATAAGTTGTAAAAGTCTCATTAGAACTCGTAAACAAAGAATACAGTACTTTGATCTTTGTTTCTGCCTTCCCTCCAAGTTGAGTGCACAGAAAGTTATATCTCTATTGCCTGAATGGTAGGTCTAAAGAAGAAAGAGAGAGAGCGACCTCTTAATTCTACAAAATATTATCCTGTTATGGCTGTTCTCAGTAGTTAACGAAGTCTCTGAGAGGACAGTCTCTGCAGAGACAAGAATATCACTAATGGCTCTGAGCCAGAAAAACCCAGAGCATATTTGGAAAATGACAATAATAATGAACACTGTGTTAATCATGAAACTGGCAGAACTTGCCAGTTGGTACCATTTGGTACTATGTGCCAACTCTGGCTTAAGTATTTTGCTTCTATTATCCTGTAAGGTCAATAGTTATTATTCCCATTTTGCAATAGAGGAAACTGAGTATCCTGATACAACTTTAACTTTCCTGAAGTCAAAAAGTTATTAGTATCACCAAGATTTGAAATCCAGGTTCTGATTTTAAAGCATATACTACTCTGAACCATTAGAACAGTGGCTCTTAAGCTATTTGTTCTGAAGACCTCTTTATAACCTTCAAAATTATTGAGAACCCCAAATATCTTTAATTTATATGGTTAATATCCATTGGTACTTGGTCTATTAAATTATTTATTGATTTATTTTAAAACAACAATAATAAACCCATTCATTGCATGTCAATATTAATGATATACTCTTATGAAAAATTGCTATACTTTCCAAAACAAATTTTAAAAAAGTGAGGAGAGTAGCATTGCTTTATATTTTTTATAAATCTCGTAAAACTTTGGCTTAATAGAAGACAGCTAGATTCTCATATCTGCTTCTGCATTCAGTCTATTATGATATCTCACGTCATATAGTCTCCGGAAAATTCCACTGTACACTTGTAAGAGAATGAGAGCAAAAAGGGCAAATAACATCTTAGTATTATGAAAAGAATTTTGATTAGTGGAGCCCCTAAAGGGTTTCAGGGATCCTTAGATGTACCCAGACCACAATTCGAGAATTGCTGCTTTAGGATAATTTTAAGTATAGTGATTCCATTGTAGTAAAACTCTATTATGTGTAGAGAAGAAGTAGGCTATGAATTGGGAAGTATAGAGTAGGACCAGATCATGGGAGGATGATATCAGGTTAAGGAATTTGAATGTTGTTTTGAAACACTGGGGAACTGTAGATGGCTTCTGGCTTGATCAGAGCTTTGTGTGGGGACAATTAGTCTGACAGTAAAATGAGTAGGATGGATTGAAAAGAGAATAGAGAAAAGGCAACCAGTAAAAGCCCTGTAAAGAGGCAGTGTACCATTGTATATCTGGAGCCAGATCTCAGGATTTTTGTGGCAATTAAATGTGTTAATATATATAAAATGCATATAACAAAGCCTGATCCATAAAACATAAGCACTGTTGATATTAGAAGTAGTTGTAATAGTTTTATTGGGAGTAGTAGCAGTAGTACTATTGTTATTATTATTAATATTAGATGAACAGTAATAAAAGCCTCAACCAGGCAGAATTAGAGAGATGCTTTGCAAAACAGTTCATAGGATATAGTTACCTATTAAATGTGGGGATAAGGAAATAAAAACATTTTAAGATAGTAATATTTTTTCATTTGACCAATATAGGAACTCAGGAAGCATTTCGACAGAGTTGATTCTCAATAAATATTTGAAAGAGAGGAATGGAAGGAAGTGGAGCCTTTTAGGGGCAAGGAAGATGAGTCTGAGATGCCTATGTACATGGTGAGGTCTCTAAGTAAATAAAACACATCGATTCATGTCCTTCCTGTGCTTTAAGCTCTTCAGAGACTTTTCATCACACTTAGGATTTTGTTCTAATTTCTTCAGGTAGCCTACAGACCCCATGCATTGTGGCTCTAATTACCTTTTCAATTTTATGTTGGGTCATGCTCCCTCTCCCTTACTTTGGCCCAATATTTCAGAGCCTGAACCTTCCCATTTTTTCCCATTTGGGGGCATTTGCACAGCTATTCCATCTCTTTATAATGTCGAATCCATCATGCCAACCCTTTACTGTAGCTGGATTCTTTGAGTCAGCTGAAATGTTACCTCCATGGAGAGCCCTTTTCTGACCATTCTGTGCAAGTAAGTCTCCTTCCCCTTGCATCCTTCTCCTTCTCCAAATTCTGCATGTTATCTTCACAGACTAAAAGCTTCATGACGACGGGAAATCTGTATTAACAAAGCACCTAGGACCTCAGATATAATAAATATTTGTTTCATGAGTATATAAATGGGATTCAAGAGATAGTTTGAAACAGAGAGCACTGGAAATATAGGGAAGTTTGTACTTTGGCTTGAATTTATTTGTACTCATATTTTAAATTAGCACCAATAAGCCAGAAAATAAGAAATCTCTTCAACTATATTTACTCACATAAATATAGGTGGATCACTGATCTTTGAAAGTCGCCAAGGTAACAATAATGGCATAATGCATCTTTACAAATCGACAATAGCGTATCCCTTGCCCCAAAGTCCCAGTAATTAATGACTCTTCTGCTTCCACACTGTAGCTTCTTAACCCTGTCAGCTAGTCTGCCTTTGTGCATCCAAAGGCCCAGTGACATTTGTAGGAAGAAGAATAGCAGGTTGGCTCAGGCATAATACAATTGTCTGACTCTGACACTTATTTGTGACACTTATTCCTTGGGTTGACCCATTAGCAGATCTCATCTGTGAATGGTGAAAGTGATACTTCCCTTGAAGGACTATTGATAATTCCAGCAAAGCGCCTAGCAAAGGAAGGGCATAGCTCTGTAATTTCAGGTTTCCCAGCCATTCAGTCACTTCATTGGTAATATGGGTTTAGAATTCTTGCTCAAAAGTCATTCTCTCTTGGAACCTTGAAGTTGTTATTTCATTGTTTTCTTTAGGAACCAATGTTGTTGAAGAAAAAATACCAGTGACAAATCTGAGAGTTACTGCCATGTATGTGGCCTGTGTTTTCTTCCAGAAAACTTTAATGATCTTTTTTGTGTTCTTGGGGTGTTCACAATTATGTAGCTGTGGGTCTTTTTTTAAATAATTAAGATAAATATCCAATAGGGTCCTTTTAATCTTGAAGACACCTTTATTTTAGTTGGGGAATATTCTCTTCAAGTATTTAAAATATTTTATGTCCTTTCTATCTTTCCTAACTCTCTCTTTCTGATAATTCTATTAGTTGGATGTTGAGTTTCAGAGAATAATTCCCTAATTTTATGATCTGTGACATTTACTGTAATTTACCTTTTTGTCCTACTTTTTAAGAGTTTGCCTCGACTACATATTTTAACCTTCTAATAATTTTTTAAAATTTTGCCGTATGTTTTAATTACATGAGTTTTTTCTTATTCTCTACTTTTTCCTTTTTTTATATATATAGCATACTGTTCTTGATTTGTAGATTTATTCTCTTTTCATATATTTCTGCATATATAAATTAGGATTTATTTATTTCTGTACCTAAAAGTATCTCTGTTTTCTCCAGTATCTGTTTTTATGTTTGTTTCTCTTGGTCTTTTTTTTTTTTTTCTTTCTTTCACGTTGTAGGTTTTACTCAATTGACTAGATGATCTCACATTGCCCAGTCATATGTGAGAGTGAATCAATAGAAGGGTTGAATGAACATGAATAGGACTTCTCAACTGGCCAGTTTCATTATCGAGTGAGAGCAGGCACAGAGGCGATCTTGCATTCTGGAATCCCTAAATGGCAAAAGGCAGAGAATTTGGCTCTGAAGACCCAACTCCCACACTCGTCCCCTAAGTCTACCCCACTTCATTTTAATTATTTGTTTCAAAAGGAAGAACCTTCAAATGTATCCTTGGAGGGGCGGGGATGGGGAGAAGAGTTAAACAGTGGGAACACAGGGCAGGGAATCCATTCTTGTCTCTATGGATTTTATTTTAGCCCTCCATTTTTCAGTACTTGTCTCACATCATTTTTGGAATGTCTAAGTCCTAAGCCTCTCCAGATTTCTGCAAGTTAGATGGGTGCCCTCCTTGGCTGTGTCCTTCATTTGTCATCTTCCATCTACTTTTCTTCTCCTAGAAACACATGAAATCCATAGTCCACTTGGTGACCCTTCTTCTATTCTCTTTTGCTGTGAGGTTGTATTTGCTTTACTTCTTTGCTATTATTTTTAAAAGATCTTGGGGAAAACAGATGCTAAATGTATGCTCATTCCACCATTGCAGTTAAATTTCTTTTTCTGCTCATCCTAAATCAAGGAGGATCATTACCTTCTTAAGAGGCTAAGCCAGCTTTTCTTATCTAGTCTACATCTATATCCTGGAACTTTTGTTTTAAAGAAGAAAAGCCATCTTCTTTGACAGTCTGAGCCTCCGCTTTTCCCTGATTATGCCAAAGAGTTTCTCTGCTTTATGTATTGACAACCCCCTCTAATGCCTTTACATCTTGGAATATTCAGTTTCATTTGATGTGTAGGTGTGTAATGTTCTGAGTAATAGGGAAGTGAATCACCAAAAAACAAAGAAATGGACTTAAAATTTTTTAAACAACAAAATCCCTGAATATTTCTTTATCATTCCATAAGTTCTCACCACCACAGGGCATTTCAAACTGAACAAATTTTCTTAGAGAAAAATCATTCTGGTGACTGTAGAGGTGTTCTTTTCGTATAATGATGAGAATTATAGCTCTTTGATTTTTTTTTTTTTTTGACAAATACTTAGTGTGTATTTACTGGGTAGAAGGCCTGGAGCAGAAATTTCCAAAGGGAAATATAAGTGGATTCATTATGGGGTAGAGTCAAGTAAAGCTAAGTTTGAACCCCAGAGCTGCCACATTCTACTTGCTTTAAGATGGTTAACATCTCTGAGTCTCAGGTGCCTCAGTGGTAACTAATAATACCCCCTTCTGCAGATGGTTGTAAGAGAGAGAGAGAGACAATGGTTGCATTAAAAAATGAGCACAACACCTGGCTCTTGATAATCACCTATTAATGGTATCAGGTTTGATGGAAGTCAACAGGCTTTATGACGTCATTGCCTACCTTCTTGGTAAAATTACAGGGGAAAATGCACTCCTCCCCGTGGAGGTTGTATAGCTCCAAAGCCTTAGCATAAGCTCTCTCTGATGTCTCTCTCAGTCCCTCTGCTTTTGTCTCAGCTCAAACTGAGCCAGGCCACCACCTAGTCAATATCATTTAGCCCCAATGAATCGTCAAACAGTAATGACTCCTTGGGACTGGTTGTTTTGCCATTTTAATAATTACTTATTGAAGAATCACTGACTAATCTGTGACATGACAGATTTTGATGTCGTCCAATTATGTGCACATTATGGAATCTATGAATTAGAGCTATTGTCCTTCCTGTGGTGGAGGTGGACTCTGCAGCTCCCCATTTGCCTAATGAGATGGAGTCCAGGAGCCAGGCAGATGGGATTCTTTTGACATTTATTTCAAGGGAAGCTACAAACATATTACAGAATGGTAGGAAAATATGCAAATGTTGCTAAATTTGTAGAAATGAATTTTTTTTTTTTACCTCAAGCATACTAGCTAAAAGCTGTGTATAAACTAAGAAAAGAAGATCAGTTCTAGTCTTTCATTTAACAAATAGCTATTACCTCTTGAGCCCTACTACGTACACAGGGCTGAAACAAACCAGAACACTGTTTTCAGACACTGAGTTTTTAATTCATGCATCCTTTTAACAAACTTCTATTTTGTGTGTCAGACACTATACGTAGGCCCTGGGAATCCAATAGTGAGTAAAAAAAAGACACAGTTCTCTCAGAAGCTTACTGTCTACCGGACAGTATTAAATTTATTACTAAATAAGCATTCACAGATATAGGTGTAGAACTACACTGCAATGAGGGCAACGAAGGAGACACTAGGTGCTCTGAGAACAATACTGCAGGAGGACTGACCTGGTCTGCATCAGTGAGAATTCTTCCCTGCTGAAAGGATGACTGGTCTGAAATGTGAAGGATAAGGAGGCATTAACAATGGGCGAATGAGGAAGGAACATTGAGGAAGATGCAAAGGCCCTGCAATTGGAGCAAGCATGGTGCCTTTGGGGAACTGAAATAAGGACAATGTATTTTGTCAAAGGCAGGCACATGTGTGAGATGAAGCTCTAGACTCCTTCTCTTGTAATACCCCAAGCTACACTTTTAGTTTTGCTTTCATTTATCCATTTATTCATTCTTTGATTCATTCAGGCATTCAGCAAATAATTATTCCATGCTGGTTCTGTTGCAGGCACCATATTAGGTACACATACAATGGTGAGTAAGACTCAGCCCCGGCCCCAAAGATTTCACAGGAGAAAAGGATGCCCACATGCTATGGTGTCACAGAGAAAGAGCACTGTCCTTGGCCTACATTTAGGAAGCTCATGAATTAGCAAAGTGAGGAAGAGGAGGAGAATTTCAAGAAGTAGAAAAAGTATGCACAAAGGTCCAGAGGCAAAAAGAATATTTTTCAAGGTCTGGAAATCTCAACAGACTCTCTGAGGCATCCAGCGTAGACTGTGAGGTCCTGATTAATATGAAATGCAAGCAGAGAAGCAGAGAGTAGCCAGTTAAGTTAAATTAAGTTGTACTAAGTGTCTTGGATTTTTTTTTTTCCTGAGAGTTACAGAAAGACACTAAAGGACTTTAGGCAGGCCAGTTGGCGCATGCTCAGATCTGCGCTTTACAAAATGATCATACTTGGGGCAACATGGAGAACAGAAGATTTGCTCAGAAGCTACTGCAGGAACATTGCTGAGAGATGCCGAGCTAACTTAGCGTCAGTGTGAATGGATAGATGTGGACAGAGTTTAGGGTTGTTAGGAACTGGAATTTATAGGACTTGGCACCTGATTGGATGTAGGGTAGAGGAGGTATTCAAAATGTGTTCTGAGGTTCTGGCTTGGGCTGCTATAGGTAGACGGTAGGCACCATTCAAAAGACAGAAGAAGAAGTGAGTTTCTTAATCTGTGTGTTTGTTTCTTTATCTGTAAAGCAGATACTATTTTAATCATCTTGTGGGATTGTCTATACCACAATAAGAACTAAATACCTGGCACAAAGAAGGTATTCAGTAAACATCAGCAACTATTTTTATATACAAAGTTCCCTAGAAGCAGTTAACCATTGAAAGTAGAAGACAAAGTAGTTACTGAAAATGTCAGAGACTTTACAGAGCTAGTGAGCTGAGCCTTAAGTGACAAGAAACAAATCACTAGGGAAGAAACGGATGGATGAGTGGCAGGAAAGACATTCTTGGCAGAGAGCACAGCAGGTGCAGAGCTCAAAGTTCTTCAAGAAAATGAACGTGGCCCACTGTTTCTGTAGCGTAGGATTCGTGAAGGGAGTGGCAGGAAACGAACTGGGAATCTAGGGTGGGAGTAGGTTGCAGAGGTTCTGTGAACCAAGCTGAGTGTTTGTCATCCTACAGGACAGCATTTGACAAAGTTTTCCTACAGAACACAAGTATCCTATAATATGTAAATACGTTCAAATTAGTATGGTAAATTCTGGCTTAAACAAAATTAAAGTAACTTCATTATTGCAGGATTTCTTAAGAGTTTTTAAATATGCATTGGAAACCTCCAACAGAGGGCTATAGCATGATTTTTGCTTTTCAGACTCTGCACCTCTTTTCTCAGAATGCTGATTAACACCTCAAAAGACACTAATGACTTTGTACCATTGGGTTTGGGAAGATCTACTCTAGGCAATGGGGAACCACGCAAGGGTTTAAAACAAGAGTGATTGAAGCCATATCTATGAGTTAGAAAGATCACGCTGACTTAGGGAGGAGGGTGAATTAGAAGGGGCAAAGACTGAAGTCCTGATGACCTTCAGAAAGTTGAATGAGGGAATAAGATAGCAAGTTCATATATGCCAAATAGGAGGAGGTGGTGGCAGGGGCAGACATAAGCTCATGTGCATGTGTGTATATGTCTTAACAATATATTGGACACTCAGCAAGTGCTATTTGTAGCCTGTAGAAGCTAGGGAAGGCTTTATCAAGAAAATTCTAAGCTCTTTATTAATATGAAAAAATTATTATTTCAAAGCTCTTTTGCATTTTGTGATGCCTTCGATCCTTCCATCTTTTAATGGAAGAGACTTCTAATATCAGTTTCCCTATTTTGCACATTAGCACACTGATTATCAGAGAACTTAAGAAAATTGCCCACAGTTCCAGAGCTGGTGAAAGGTAACCTTGACCTTTGCTCTTCGTCTGGGGCTCTTTCAATTCCATCTTGTTCCCTCTAAGTGAGGTGGATTTGAAGGATAGGTAGGGTTTGCATACATTGAAAATATAAGTAAAAATGTTTTGGTTCAAAGGAAAAGTACAAGAA